TTTTACGGTTTTGTACACATATGTGTATTTACTAAAAAACAGCGCTATCTAGTATTTCAATATGTTTTATTATGATGTAATAATTAGTACACAAATAATTCTAATAGGATATTATTAAAGAATAGGATCATTCCCTATGATCCTATTCTTTAATAATATGATCCCTATATTGTTAGCGATTGATATTTTTCCCTCTGGACAATATTATTAGTTGGTATAATTCCCCATGGATTGATTCACAAATAACTCTATTTAGAAATTTTTTTTAAGGAAAAAAATTCTAAATGGAATTATTTGTGCACGACGGAATTCTAATTTGTGCACGAAGAAATTCTCGTGTAAACGGTTATAAAAGCCGTAACGGTAAACTTAGATAAAATATTATACGAGAGGGAATAACGACTTCATAGATTTTTGATGCAAGTGTAACATTTAGTTAAAAATTTAGTTAAAAAACTGATTATTTTGAAATTCATATAAAGATGGGTAGAACAGCTAAAAAAAAGAAGACAGAATAAGAAAAAACGGAAAAATACAGAAAGGTTGAGGTATATTTACCTATTGAAGTACCCACTGAGGGAGTTACCTCAGAGACAGCTTCCATCTAATGGTGATATTCTTAGATACTATCAATTTATCCTTCGCGAGTCACAAGTTAAATACAAACCCACTTCTACTAATGTTGGTTGCAAATTGAAATCGAAATCCATGGATCTTGTTTGTGAAAATGGTGTTTGTACAGATCCTGATAATTCTTGCTTGGTATCTAGGATTAAAAAAATTTGGGATAATGCTGGGTTTGGCAAGAAATTTGTGATTTGTGGGTACAATATAAAGACTAAAATCATTAAAATTAATTTAAAGTACAAGAAATTGATTAAATTGTCTTCTCTAAACTGGAAGAGCAGTCTTGATAAGCAATCAAAGTTAGAGAAAGATTTTCTCACAGAATCCTATCAGCTTTTTGACATCTCGACTAAGAATTTTAAAAAAGATATTCTTGCTGATAGATTGAGAACAGATGATGCCAAGCTGGAAGATATAAAGTAAGTTCATTAAATAACACTTTTTTTAGTAGTGAGATTTTTTTTCCAATTAAAAGTAACTTAAGTAATAGCATATTATTTCCTTTAAGATATTTACGTTTAACTCTTTACATGGTTTGATCATCATCCAAGAAAAACTAGAACAATTATAAATTTATTTATAAATGGCTTAATAGATTTAAATATTTCTTAGTTTTTATGAAGACCAGAAGTTACATAGGAAAGGATATATGGAAACAAAAGTCAATGAAGACTACAGTAGAAGAATACTGGATGCAAACAGGAGAAAGAACAAGCTAGATAAGTTGAGAGAGAAAGAATAGAGAGACAGAAAAACTTAAAAGATATCAATGATGTTTTGTTGTCACATGACTCCACGACAGAAGAGATTCAATTCAGCAGTGAGGAAGAAAAGTCAAACGAGGACTCTGAAATCAGCGAGAAAGATGATTTCCTGGGTAACGGTCGGAAACGCTGGTATAGTGTTATTTTAATAACATAGTTGTAATTTTCACAAGCTAAAGCTGTTTTATTGAAAAGTATATAATTATAAATAGGTAGAAAAATATTATAAAATGATACTTAGGTACAATTCTGGAGATAGGATAAATCTAGCAGTGAATGTTGAAAAGCTCATTGAATGTACTGCTATTCCAGCAACAAGGTTCAATGTTGGTGTACGACCTCATCTGGCAATTTTAAGTGAAGTATTTAAAGCTGGAGGTATAGAAATTAATGATATACCGCTTTCAAGAAGCACACTTCATAGAAAAAAGTTCAAATATGTAGAACTTGAAGGAGACTCGGAGTGGATTTCAATATCTAATCATCTTAAAGGCCGACGGCTTATTCTTCATTTTGATACCAAACTGTTGGAACAAATTACCACTGGGCTTAACATTATTCAAAAAATTGAGCGGCTTGCAGTCTTAGTGAGTTCCCTGGATGACGATACCATGGAAGATCATCTTTTAGGTGTTGTTCAATGTCCCTCTTCAAAGGGAGTTGACCAAGCAGAACAAGTGCACAATCTTTTAGAATATTACGGATGTAAAGAGCAGATCATTGGTATATGCTGTGATACAACTGCAAGCAATACAGGCGGAGTAAATGGAGCAGTCCAAATTCTTACAGATATTTTGAAATTACCAATTTTGTGGATAATGTGTAGGAGACACATATATGAATTACATGTATCTCACTATATGGCTGCCCTTACTGGTGAGAAAACTAAAGGTCCAAGAAGAGCTCTTTGCGTCAAGCTAAAGAACAAGTGGCCTGAAATCTGTAAGAAAGTGAATGAAGTGAAAAATTTATGTAAATTGGACTGGCAAAGAGATGATCTGAAAATTGGCTCTGTTCTTCGCACTGTTGCAGAGGAAGCTAAGACATTTTTGACTAATGCAACTACTGATATAGTGTTTTCAAGGAATGATACTGGTATAGTTTGTAAGCTTGCCTCTTTCTTCCTTGGAGTGGAAGTACAAGATTTTAAGTTCCATCAACCTGGCGTCTGCCATGAGGCAAGGTTTTTAGCAGATGCGATCTACATCCTGACTCTTTATATGACTAAAGATATCAGTAATATCTCGACAGAAAAAGAAATGCTGCAGTTGAAGGATGCAAGTTTGTTCATTGCAATTTGCTATGTTCCATGGTTTTTAAAATTTTTTTTAGGATTTCTTGCTACTTACAATGATTTGAAAGCTATCCAGACAGCCTATGCATTGAGAAAAGTTAGTAAGAATATTGGAAATGCTTTGCTTCTCAGCATGGGACGCCATACGTGGTATTTAACTCCGCAACTCTGTGTTTTTTTCTTTGGGGATAAAGAAGTTCCTTCTGAAACAAAGCTAAGAATGCTGTTAGCTCTGATTGAGTTTGAAGAGCCAAATGAATTTCAGCGTTGTAAACCATCAAATGTACAAACTGGAGAGACCACAGAGCTACCAGAGTTGATTTCCGAGCAAAGCTACCTTCTCTTCAAACATTTTAAAATATCAAGAGCAAGTATAAAAGAATGGCTTAATAATAGTTTTAATACTATAAATGTTTTTAACCATCCTCAGTTGCTAGATTTTATTGCATGGATCAAAAACATATCTGTTGTAAATGATGGTGCAGAAAGAAACATTAAGCTCATTAAAGATTTTATTTCAGCTACTAGAGATGAAGATCACCTTCAAAATGTACTTTTTGTAGTTAAAAAGTCTAGAAAAAACTTGACTAAGACTATGACTAAAAAGGAGCTTGGGAACTGTTCAAAAAGTTGTATTTTTTGAAAAATGTTTCACCGCAATAAAATCTTAAATTTGCTAATAAATATTAGTTTTCATGTATTTTTTTTGTATTTTCATATTTATAAATATAATCTATCAAGTTAAATAGTAGAAAACAATTGGAAATGATTTATACCCATCTAATTGTTTTGTTTTAATTTTCTAAAATGTGTTTTCTATTAATGTTAAGCTAGCTCAACATTAAAACAGTAAAACTCAGATTTTACATCTAGCACTTCCTGTCAAAATAAAACCGTCAAATTTTTTTTAGTACTTATTTAGGTCACATAGAACGGGAATCAGTAGAGAGCTTTTTTTTTTTTTTTTTTTTGGGTCACCCTAATGTTTACGTACTTTATGAAAGACCCGTATTAATACGGGTCTTCCATAACCGAACTTGATAAATTTAATTTCTTCCATAACCAAACCAAAAATTAATTTCTTCCATAACCAAACTTGATAAATTTAACAGAAAAGTGAGGGAAGCCCTTGAAATACAATGCTATGAATGTGCACCTTTAGACGGCAGTCTAAATCGGATGGAGGTTACGTCACAACATCCTTTTGGAAACCTTTGTTTCGGTATTTAAATGAAAATAAACTATTGCATTAATTTGTTTTTGTTTTGAACGGTTTTATATATATATATATATATATATATATATATATATATATATATATATATATATATATATATATATATATATATATATATATATATATATATATATATAAATATATATATATATATATATATATATATATATATGTATATATATATATATATATATATATATATATATATATATATATATGCAGCACTCCCTTGCGTATTTGAGAATATATACAAATTTGGCACAGTGGGCCAAATTTGGCTTATAATTTTAGCATGCGAGAGTTAAATATTTAACTCTCGCATGCTAAAATCATTTTCGCAGAAATTAACTAAATTAGTTTTTAAGCCTTTAATTATTTTATTTTTATTATTATTATTATTTTTTTTTTTTATTTTGACTTTTTCATGCTACATTAATAGGAACAGCCACAAATAGTCATTAAGACTAATCCATAGTGACGTCCGTTATTGACCATTTTTTTTGCGTACCGAAGTACTACTCAAGTGCTGAGTTGGCGGTGGCGGGATTTGAACTCGTATTGTTCAACAGTCCGGGTTTTCACTTTTCCTTAAACGCTCTAACCATCTGAGCTATCCCGCCACGCGTTAACTAAAATTAATTAACTTTAGATTGCGTACATTACAATACATTACGTTACATTACATCACAGTGTCATTGTTTTTATGATAAGAAAAAGTATTTTAGGTTTAAACTCCTTAAATTTAACAAATGAATTTAAAAGAAGTATTAACTTTTATAATAGGGTAGAGCGGGGGGCTAATTGAACAATTTTTACTAAATCTAACAGATCTCAAGAACGGTTCCTCGGATATCATAATTTTTTCAATATTTGAAAAATAATTTATCCTCCTAAAAATTTGTTAAGAAAAAAGTATAGTTTTTGATTTTTTTGAGAAGATATTGCCTAAAGTTTGCAGAGCTGCTCAACCTGCCCTAGCGGGGTAGGTTTAGCAATAGTGTGCTGTAAGTTGAAAAATCAAAAAATAAATGAATATGGATGGTACAAAACTTGGGTGAATCATCAATAAAACTTTCACTAACAGTAAGCGTGTGTATAGTTTATTAACTTTTTATTTTATACATTTTAATGACGTCAAAAAAGAGAAAAAAAATTAAATAATATAAAAGTGTTTAACTATAAAAATATATTTTTATACAATTATCTTGAACTTTGAAACCCAATATAAAAATTACTAACTCTAAAAATATATATAAAAAATGTACCGCTCTATTATTTCATATCAAAGTTGTTTCTTTGTGTTTGAAATTTCAGCTTTATTTATTTTTCTCAAAGCTGCTCAACTTACACCTACTAGACAAGGTGACGCATTAGTTAGGTTTTTAAAAAAACTAAAAGACTTAAGAAAAAACAGTTAAATTTAATTAAAAGTTCGATAAATTGGTAAACTATCAACACTTAAGTGATGGCAGATAAAAAAAATTTTAAAAGCATACAGTAGAAAAATAGCAAAAAATTTATTTTTTACTTTTTTGGTCAAAAATAGAAAAATTGTCCGTTTATCTTACTCAATAGCTTTTCATCAATTTTTTGTTGCGTATTGTGTTAACAATACTAATTCTCTAACTTTCATCGATTAGATGTTTTGTCATGTGATATGTAGTTTTTGAGATATTTTAACTGCCCAACTTGCCCCTATGCTCAACTAACCCCGCTCTACCCTAAACTAAAAACCCAAATCAATTGAAAAAAGATTTATTGAAACAAATGAGAAAAAAAATTGTATTATTAATATAATATCAACCTGTTGCGACCTTTTAATAGAAATGATAAAAACTAAGTTCCGTAAATAAATAAAAAATTCCAAAAAGTTTGCGTTTTCTTTAAGGTCTTTTTGCTATAACGTCCGGCTACCAATAAACTCCTGTGCAAAAAAAAAAGTTTTACATATATATATATATATATATATATATATATATATATATATATATATATATATATATATATATATATATATATATATATATATATATATATATATATATATATATATATATATATATATATATATATATATATATATATATATATATATATATATATAAATAAATATATATATATATATATATATATATATATATATATATATATATATATATATATATATATATATATATATATATATATATATATATATATATATATATAGAGAGAGAGAGAGAGAGAGAGAGATCCTATCGAGCCTGCAATGATCTCTTTTATTACAATTATTTTTTATTCGCTAATTATTTATAAAGAAATGTTAAAAACAGTTGTGAGTTAAGTCAGAAGAAAAAACATTGAATTTTTTAAACTCTTGAACTTTAATGCTTTTGTTTAAAAACAATAATCAGGTTTTAGGAGAGGACAAGTGATAATCTGCATAAGTTGGTGATCTGCATAACCCGTTTGTTTACCCCACACCTGCGTGTGTACTTTATGGAAGACCTCTTGTGATTTAAAAAATAAATATTTGACACATTATAACTAATAATTATTTCTAAAAGTACATGGTCACACATTCACTAAAAGTAGATGGTCAGTACTTTAACCCACATTCAATAAAAAACAATTTTAAAATAAGAGATTTAAGTTTTAAAAAGCAATGCTGTTTGTTATGAACTAATACAATCAATATTTACTATTTTTATTTTGTATTTAAAAAAGCATTTTTAAGCTATAGTTGCAACAAAAATTTTTTATAAGAAAACATGAACAAATACCTGTTGCTTTAGTTTGTAAATATTTTATAATCAATTAAATAATACGTCAAAGTACATCACTAAAACTAACCAGACCTTATTAAATCCCTATGAACCATACCTTAGCTGTCAAATAATAATCATAAATGTTAAATATGTAAATATACGTTGAAATAATTATTACTTTAACAAATAACTTAAGTAAACTATTATCATTGTCTTGTGAATAAATCCTTGAGCTTGTATTGTATAATAATAAAAAATCACATGTGGTGAGATATCTGCAAATCACCAGAGTATTCAAAATATCATTTTTGAATATGTTTTAAATATATCTAAAATAAGAATTTTAAGCAGCGCAACTCATTATGGGATTGATATTTATGGGATTGCACAACTCATTATAGGATTCAAAAACAATAGAAATTTGTGATAACTTAAGTCATTGTGAAATTGATTGAAACAAATTATGTGACGTCACTGAAACGATAGGCAACCGAGATAAACTTAAATCATTCATCAACGTGCAACAATCGTAATCTTACTTGACCATATTAAAAATGAATTGTAAACTTAACCGTACTTTTTTAATTATCTATTTATAGCGAGGTTAGAATTTGTTCTTTCTCGACTTTTTGCAAAATTTGAGTTTTTGTTTTATTTATTGCACCTTAGAATAATGTTTTTCTATTGTATTTTTAAGTTATAAGTAAAAGGTTTGCGGAGAAAACATAAAGTAATATAATAAAATTTGAATGTCGTCTTATAAAGTTTTTATTTTTTTAGTTTTATCTCAAAACATAAAAATGTGGAGATAAAATAAGATAATTTTAACCTCGCGTTGTTTCTAATAAAACAATAAATAAAATGAATTGCTGTCATTGATTACTACTTCGTCATTATAAAAGTAGTTAAAGTACACAAAGAAACAAAAAAAAAAAACTATTGTTGAAAATACAAATCAAACTTGCAAAATGTTTAAAAACAAACAACTAAAAAAATCAGACAATAGACGTTTATAAAAACAAAATTGGGTTGCACTTATAACAATAGATAAATTTAAAACATGGTTTGTTATGATTTATATATTGTTAATTATTATTTATATAATAATTTATATAATGATTGTAACTTGTTTAAATAAACTAAATTATCGGATATATTGTTTAAATAATCTAAATTCCAGTATGGATAACTATAAAATAACAAAAATATTCTATAATTGATAATGGAAGGAATATATATAACGTCTTAAAAATTTAACGTTCAAACAAATTCCCTATTTAACGAGTGCGCACTTTAACAATTTAATTAAGGTACACCGCGCACAAAATTCTATAAAAAGCACATTTAAATAAAGACCACAAAAAATACTACTTAAATGTTATCAAACATTTTTATTATCTTTTATAATATAAGATTAGAGCTAATAATACAAAAATCATAAAACTTTTATGTATACAATTCTCTATTATTTTATCCAGCAACAAAACAATATTTATTTTTAGTTCTTTAAACCTCCGTAAACTTGTTTCAATATTAATAAACTGCTCGTTAGTCGGCGTAAAAACTCACTTAGTTTTAACTAAACCCTTTCGACATTATTATTAAAATTTCGACATTATAATAAAATTTTTCGACAAAATTATTAAATGTTTCGACATTATTATTAAAATTTCGTTATGATTTCTTATCACCGTCAGAAACACACATATCATTCTTAATGTTATGTAAATACTTTTCCTTTACGTAATTCAAAACTCCTCAACCTCATATTTTTTTGACTCTCAAATAAAAATCTAAAAAACAAAGATGGTGAATAAAATCATTATGCTCAAAAATCCTTTCAAATATTCTAGAAGGTTTGAAATGCGTATTTAATTTAATTACTATTTTTCTATCAGCTATGCTGTTCTTTGTTTCGTTTGGAAACTGAATCTGTTGCACAAGTTTTATCTAAATATTTTAAGAAATACACTACGTTATTGAGCAGACAGTAAAACAAAAGAAATACTACTTTTATGTAATATATTTATTGTGACATTTCTCAATCAATTTGATTTGCTTTTGGTCAAAATGTCAGACGTTTGGAAAAACTACACGTTAATCAAAGGAAAAAAAATTGACTTGCAAAATTTGTTGAGATATCAGTGAATACTCAAGTTCCTCAACTGGAATGTAGTATTTAGACTAAAAGACATGGAACCAAAAATCGAACGCAGGAAAAGTTGAAAACAAAAGCTGCAGAATCAAAAAAGTCCAAAATTTCAACTTTTTTTTCCAAGCAACCAATTGAAGAAGTTATTTCTAGGCAAACGGCGTTGGATGGATTTAGTTTCTACCCCATTGTTCTTTCATTCGACCTGCAATATGTGAAAAAGTTTATGATCACGAGCAAGCAATCAAAAGTTAAAAACTTTGCAACTGGTATGAGAAATGACTTTAGACGTACTTTTAAATTTTTTGTGACCATTGGAAAACACTTTTCAATTACACTAGATGAGTACACTTCTTTAAAAAATAAAAAATACATGAACACTAATACTCATCAAAAACACATACATGATTCTGGCTTGACTTGAGTTTCTGGATTTCTGCTGCAGTTGTCACAGAAAAAGTGGCCGTTTTTGGATTAAACATTGGCGGCAGTATTGTCTGCTCAGTAATGGATGGAGCTTCCATGATGGTTAAGTTTTGAAAACTTGTTTTAACTGAGCATCAAACGTGTTATACTCATGGAATGCATTTGGCAGTTCAAGAAATGCTGTACGAGAAACCATCCCAAAAAATTGATGTCAGCTTATTGCGAGTAACAAATGACGAAAGTGAATTCAGCAGTGACGAATCTGAATCAGATACTGAAATCAGTTTTTTTCATGCTGCCATTGCAAAAGTTAAAGTGCTCTTGCATACTGTCATCACAAAAGTCAGAAAAATGATCAAGTTATTTCAAAAATCTTCTGTCAAAAATGACGTTCTTAAACCAGAAATTAAGAAACAGCACGGACAAGAGGTTTTGCTTATCGTTTACTGCAGAACATGATCGAATCCATTGATTATTCAACAGTTTCTCTAAGTTAAAGATTCAATGAGAAAAATATGGAAATATGTTTCTCCACATTTGGTTTGCAGCAATGATGAAGAAAACATTTTAAACGACATTGTTTCTGCTCTTGAACCAGTTATATTGGCAGCAGAAGCCCTTTGCCGATAGGATGCAACTTTTTTGACAGCTTTTTTAGAAATTTTTAGATTTCTTGTGAACAGACACAAATTTTTTTTCTTTTTTTTTTTTTGTTATTTTATCTTTACAATGCTGCGATTCTACATGATTGGTACAATGTAATAATGTTTTTAAAATATATAATACTAAAAATATATCACAATTTTATAGAATACAAAAAATATGATTGTAGGGTATCATTAAAATTAAAAGAACGCGGGAAACTTGCAGAAGACCAGATGGTCTTGTCATCAAGAAACCGCTTGTACTTGTAATATTTTTTGTATTTTCGTTTTACAATGCATATAGTTTCACAAAATGCTTCATTTTATATTAGGTTCACCATGGCCTACTATATTTACGGCCGCATATCTTACATTTTTGAGGGGGAAATTAGGAGGCCGACTTTTACTGAAAAATGGCTAGGCAGAATATTATATTTTTAAAAAGCAACTTTATTCTTAATTTTTAACTTAAAGTTCTTCAATTGCCACTTTTACTAAATGTAAAAGTGGCAATTGTTTTTTAATATATATACTCTTTAAGATAAAATAGATATCAAAGATTTAAAGACATTTGTGTAATATTTGTTGGAGAATTGTCACAGAAATTATTCAAATCAATATACATTTATTTCTATGTATATTATATTTATATATAATATATATATATGTATTTATGTATACATTAACGCTTTAAAAAAATGTCAAGAAGTAGTTCAAAGAAATCAAACAATAGGTAAATTTTATTAAACTATATAAACAAATGCTATGCAACTAGCATATTGGCAATTTTAACTTCACTTTTTTCTTTGCCTCTTTTTAAAAGCTTTTAAGTAATTATTGGAAACCGAATCTTTTGATAGTTTTTGTTTGTTATTAAAAAATACATTAACAAGAATTTTGTTGAAAAAGTGATTCCCCAATTTTCATGACTTTCACAAACAAATTTTCTTTTTGGTGCGTATTTATGTAACAGATATGTTAATGATTTAATGACTGGAATTGGTAGAGATGAAATTTCATTCTTGATTAAATTCAAAATAGCAAATATACGGCAAACAAATTCTGCAAGCTGTTTGGATGGAACAAATAGTCCACCATGTGACAAGAGAGATAGATAATAATTATTTTCAAGATCAATGTCTCCACCTTTCAAGCATGCTTTGCAATTTTCACATTTAGACCTTTTTGACAATTTTTTTGCAACATAGCCTGCTATAGTTATTACCACTTCTTGACTATTATAATCAAGGGAGCTTTCCATAATTTATTCTATTTGATTTTCAAACAGTTTACCGAGTATTGTCAAGAAAGGATGATTATCTGGTATAAGATTTTCTTCCCAGAAGTTTATATGCTCCTTAATTAAAGAACGACATGACAAAATTCTTTCTGAATTTAAAACTTCTCTTAAACTTACAAGAAATCTTCCCCCACTCATTTGCCTGTATTGTGAGAAACGTGTCTCATTTGGATCACTTTGTAAACGAGCTATCATTGTGTAATTATATCCATCATTCAGGAGCTCCTCAACAACCAGTGCTTGAGCACGTGAGGTATTTACAAAAACCACTAATTGATCCAATCAGCCAGAGCTTGGTAAAAAATCATTTTACTGTCTCCTAATACAATAGCATTGCCAATAATATTTGGTGAAAACCTTTGTTTAGAATTAGCAATAGTCCACCAAGTGTTAAAAATAGTTAAAAAACTTGAAACATCTTTTTGATTTGGATAGTAGCTTTTTGAAATTGTAGTTTCATGTATAATTGCTAACGCAAGTGGCACACTTTGTTTATTATTTCCAGGATGTAATGTCTCAAATGTAAGCTTTGGAGCTTTTTTAAGTTTACCTTTCAGATCATTATCATTATGGTAAATCTTAAATAAATCATCCCAACTAATATATCTTGATGGACAATCAATATTGATATATGCATTATGGTATTTAAAGTCTGGAAAAACAAATTTTTTACCATTTAATAAATTATTTCTAAGAATTTTGACTAAATGCACACTATCATAAAACAAATATGTCTTCTTTCCATGATTCTGTGAGTGAATAATAAAATACTTTGATTCAGACTTGAACATTGTAACTAATGATGAGAAAGCATTGATGTTAGTGAAATGATTGTCTG